ATAGGATAAATCAAACTTATAATTAATTAATTCGTTTTTGTTCACTGCAAAACTGTTCACTATGCCTGTATGTAATAATAATATCCAGTTAATAGAAGCGTTATGATAAGTGATTAAAATATACTTATCTATACTAATATATAAAGGTAAACAGTTTGTTTTTTACTGCCCTGATTTCTGACGAAGAACAGTTGTAAGGCTATAAAATAAAAATTATCCATCCATTCAGTAGTGTAAGCTTCAAAAACGGTCCAAAACACAAAAAATATGTACGAAAGAATTATTTATTCCTCTTTAAGTGATAGAATATGTCCACAATAGTATATGTCTATCTTTTAAGATTAACTTGCAAGAACGACGATGCGACTGATGTCGTGGGAAGGTTTGCAAAAACAAACTTGCGTGCTGAAAATTACTATTCTACGCAAACGAAGTCGCTGGCACAGCTAGTACAATATAGAAGAAGAAATGCGGCAAACATATCAAATTGATTAATAATGATAAAATAAAATTGCCTTTTGTGTTAATATTTTTATGAATATTTAAGCAATTCTGTAGTGCAATCGTTCAAAAAGCAAAATATTGATAAAATTGAACTCAAATACTCACTTAGTAATCTAAGAACATAAAAATACAGGTATTTCGCAATTTGGTCGTAATTCGAGCAAGAGAACGCCACGTCACATAACTTACGCATAAAATGGAAAAGTAACAGAATCTCAAATCTTATCTCCCAGATATTTTTATGTACCCAGAGAGAATTTATGACTGGAGAAATTTAACGTTTTATCCGAAACCAGGCAGCCAGGAAATATATAAATTTTGTCCTAAACCTATTTTATGGCCTCACTATTGTTTGAACGCTGCTTTGCTTGCATTGCGGTAACGAATTATTAAATTAGACTATTGAATAAAACACACATTTTCGCGGTTACGGGGGAAACGCGGCTGCAAAGTATCCAAAACGTCGGGCTGTAGTTACAATAAATTGTAAATAACTTAACTTACATATTTGACATTTTTCATCGTTAAATGTGTTGTATTTAACTCGTGTAAAGCACAGACAATACACATCAAAATTTGTATAGATAAATATTAGGAATTAATTTATAGACTTTTTACGTATCAATATCTAATATATAGCCAGTAACTAAGTACCTGAAACTAGGTAGGTTAAAAGGAAGTGTTGTTTTATGTTTACTTATTTTTTCCTCTAAATCTTTCTTTCTCTTCTAAACAAGAATATTTCAAGCAATTTTATCTTCTTTAATTGCTATAACTGAAATCGTATTGAATTAAATAACAGAATTCAGTTAAATAAGCAATATAGATGTTAATATTCATCCAAGTAACACTGCCTGATGTAGATAGTGAGTGTAGAGAACTCTGTAGTCGTTTCGTTTTAGCTTAAAATCGCGTAGCGTCAAACATTCGATGGTCTAATTTAAAAGTTTCTTGCGATTTATAACCTTGAGACAAACGGAATGGCTTTATATATCGACACATTTATGTACATAAAGAAGGGAGAAAATAACAAATGAATAACGGATTATTTTGATTTTAACCTTCGTTAAACTTCGTTTCTCTTACATTTCGCTTGACTGATATTATGTTAAGAATTTTCTTTGAAAGATTATGTACAATATCGACAAAATATCTGGTCCCATCTAAGTAGGTACTTAACTTATATAATTCTGTTCCTACATTTGAAGAACTAAATTAATTCTCCAGAATTAGGATTTCAATATATCAGTAAAAGAACTGACCCTTTAAAAATCATTAAACATACACAACAACGCACCTAAGTAGGCGATGATACGTTTGGTTAAGATAATTATTTTTACCATCCTTTTAAAAATAGTTTAACAAAAGCCGAGTGATTTCCCAGATCACTTTGATTTCATTCTCTTCTTTTCTTTTAATTGTATTTTTTTTGCGTTATTATTATAAAAAATTTAAATCTATCAATTCATTAATACACGCACAACATGCACAATGTAATTTCAACTTTAATACTTAGTTATTGAGGATCAATGTCCTATGATTTGCAGCTTAAGAAACGATGAAAAGTTTAACGTTATAAAACAAACCCTTCTACATGTTATTGCACATGATGGCTTTCTTTAAAATCTAAATGTTTTGTAAGTAAATGTCTCAAGCTTTGAAGTTATGTAAATGTAATACTTGAAAAGTTTATAACTTAATCCGGCTTCTACGAAGCATATCGCACCACACTGCTCCACGGCTCGCTACACTCGTGAGAGATGTCTTTGAAGTTTCACAATTTATAAGAATACTAGCTTTCGCAGTAACCTACTTTCAAATTACACCCCAAAACCAGACTTGCTTTTCACGGTCTGCGGACTTCCGTCATTTCAGATTTTGTATAATTAGCATCAAATATGACGACAACTACCTCGTTTGTCTACTGAGTAGTGTATGTTGGAAAGAGGTTCAAACAGTGTGTTCTTCTTGTTGTAATGGTAGCATATATGGCTATATAAAATTAGCAAGCATATAAATGTATGTACTGTATTCGTGAGTACTAACTAAACGTGACGGACTAGTTGGTGTAATAGTAGCAAAGTACAGCTAATAAACAATGGATCGTGGGAGCGATCTCCAGCTGGTCCTAATTTTCTAATCAATAAATATTTTTTCTTAAACAGTGATGGACTTAAGCGACAACACTCATAACACATGGGTCCTTTCGTAGTCTTACCAATAAATAAATAAAAAATTAGTAAAAAATAATTGTTTGGTGGAAAAAATATTACTTAGTTGCAATTAAAACATTTAGTTTTTAAGTAAAATAAATATCATGGCGCCGATTGTGTGTATGTGACATTTAAGTAAAAATGTTGCCCCGGGTGAGGATCGAACTCACGACCTTAAGATTATGAGACTTACGCGCTGCCTACTGCGCCACCGAGGCCGATAGGGATGTAGGTAAAATAAAGTATTATATTGCTTTGCCTTACACTTGCATACACATAGTGCATATTGTTAATTATATTATAACAGTAGATTTTTATATCAATAGATATATAATAGAAAGCATCTAAAGGTCAAGGTATAGATTTTAAATCGTTCTTTTGCAATATATTGCGTATTCGAGTGGTCTACAATTAATTGTATATTAATAATACACTATAACTATTTAAAAACCTTACTTTCAACGGGGTTTATTTTCACAAACAGGACACTAGCATAGTACATTTTACTTGCCCTAATATTCTAATCAATAAATATAAGGGCAAGTAAAATGTGTGATTAAAACCGTCAAAAGTTTATTTAAAATACAAGCTACACAATGTATAGGAACCGTTAAGTAAAAAACTGTCTGTAGTTTACGCGAGTAGTACACATTTAAATGAAACCCCTTAACGGTTTAAAACGCTATATTTATTAGTTTAACTTATTTTAATTTGATACGTCTGAAGTTTAGTTTTTGTAAGTCTGACGTCAAACAAAAAACGCTGCAGTTTTTATTTTGACGTCAGATACATCCTCCATCTTTAGTCACCCCGTAACCACGACTGCTGCAAGGCATCCGAAACGTCGAACTGTAGTTAAAATAATTAATAAATTTATTTTTATTTTAAAATTGAACTAATATATATATCCTTTTAAACCGTTAAAGTGTCTTATTTAATAAGTATGAATTACATACAAATACGTCAATAAAATAAACAGAAAGCGTGTTTAACATGCTTGTTTTACCTGTATGTGTATTTTACGTGATGGCACATGATATTTTATTATTTTAAACAAACGCATCGCATGTTGGTACAGTAGAAAAATTTTCAGAGATTTCAATATCCCGTATTTGTATTGATAACAAACGCGGAAGCAGTTATATTTTTAAAATATATATTTCTGCATAGCGACACGTTGTGCTGGGGAATTTTACACCAAAAGTGTATTACAATTTTTATGCAACAAACCAATTCAAAACTGAGATAGTAACAATAAATAAAACGTGATTCAGTCATGAACCGCGTTTTTGATAGAAGTCCTTGGTTCTAATCCTGAAAAAAAAAGTAATCTATTCCGACAGGCCACGTGAGTCTAAGTTAGGCTTAAAATATTTACATTACTTATTACGTTAAATAGTAATTATCAGATAAATTTGAAGCATCAAAAAGATTATAAGACAACGTTTTTATAAAATGTTATAAAACACAACTTTCAATTCAATATTTCGTTTTTTATATCGTTAAAATTGATTTTTTTAAATGTGTACTAGTCGCGTAAACTACAGAAAATACTTAACGTTATTATATCAATACATCACTTTTAGAACTTCTACCATCATTTATAAGTTTTTAAATATGTTAATTAAATTAAAGTTTCCCTTTTTTTGTTTCAGCTCGACGTCAAAACCACTTCACAAAGGAAATTAGTTATTACTAATCTTTGCTTAAACGATTCGGTTCTTAAACAGAAATATTAATTCACATAATTTTATAGTTCTGGATTTGGTTTCCTAATAGTTAGGTCTTAGTACCTACACAGTATCCTACCTATCTAGAAATCCAACAGATAATTTTATGGGAAAACGTTCACCAAACGCGGTTAGTTCAAAGCTTAGTCTGTTGTGGCAAGCACAATACTGAAACCTACTTCAAACTCGAATTAAACAAGATTGAATGAAGATAGAATAAATTTAATGTCGACTAGGATTACTTGGAATTATCGCAATGTAAGTCGCAATAAAAACGATTATTCTTTTGTTTTAAGATTTACTTTGATAGCACTGCCTAAGTATGTCTTAATATACAAAATATTTGTTTTTTTTTTAGAAATTGAAGAGCCTCTTGAGATTTGAGATGAGAGCCAATATTTTTTTGCTTTTTTTCTGAAGTGTATAGGCTCACAACACATATCTGATGCTGCGGATATTATGAAGCCTTGAACCTTCATCAATATTATATGAAACTACTACGCGTTTGTCCTTTCTCTATGGAATGGGAAATCAAAATATCTTGTTTAATAGAATGTCAGGTAATGGAATTCCACGCAACTGCGATCAAGAAAATGACCATAAACGACGCGAATTCCTCACATCAGCCCACTCGCTCAATTACCCGGCCGCCGAAAAAGAAAATTCCTCATTCTTCCGGTTCAAGAATCTCCAACAAAAAACTAATCTCAGTTCGAGAACTATCATAAAAAATGTCCTCAACTTCACGCACTCAAGAATACGAGACTTGTGAAAGTTTTTCTGAATTCCGTTAGAGCAGTTTTTCAGGCATGAATTTCCGATTATTATATGGAACTGCTTTTTTCGTCTCATCACATACATAAAAATTTAAGTGGAAAATGTTGTATCTGTAGCGCTAAAGACACTAAAACTATTAGTATTTTTTATAAGAATTACAATCTAATGTTTCGGACATCGGCTTTACAGTCATGCTCACGGCGTCGTCTCCCGCTCAAATATAATTAGTTTAATTGAATACAAATGCATCGGATAAAGAACGGCAGCTCTAGATGCTGGTTTAAGAACCGCTCGTGTTGTATTTTTTTTTCAACCTAAAATTTGTATAATGCCATGTGAAATATATTAAAGTTTTCAAACATAATTAGTTGTTTTGTTGGGGCGGCCACTGAAGTTAAACATACTGGAATTGTAATTGTTTTATCAATATATATATTTGATTTATAAATTAATACGAATAATTTACCAAACTAAAAATGAATGAGATGATTAGAAGAGATTTATTATCTCTAATACTTACACAGATAATATATCGCTTTTTAATCTGTCCAAGAGCCATTGTTTCAATTTATGTACTCGCATAATCTGTAAACTCAAGTCGTGTTTGCAAGATAGACATCTTGTAAATAAAACTGATTCCCTGTATAACCACGGCTGTCGTAAAGTCTCTGACACAAATTGACTCATATATTACAGGTTATAAAACCTTAAATGTGTTTAATTTCATGTGCACCACTCGCGAGCTACAGACAAACAGTAACAAATAGTAGTGGCCCTGTATAGTCTACTTATGTGTTTTTTTTAATTATGAAAGAGTAAACGTTACTATAATAAGTGCGTCAAATTTTGTTTATTGTTTGCACATAGCCGACGGCGACTCAGTCAGTGATTTCAACAAGGGGAGGTCCACCGAGCACGCAAATAAACAACAAAAGATATAAATCTGTGACGAAAACAGTAATTTAGTCGTAAATACGAATATTACTTTTACTTCGCGAACTTATCAGATTCGAAGTTGTCACACAAAGGCTCCTAAATTATACCTACTTTAAAATCTCGCAGGTTTGCCATTAGCTGGATTTCGGAATGAGTTTCAAGAATTAAGTGCATTTTGTTATATTGTGGAAACGGAGAAAATAAAGACCGACAAGACAGAGTACGGACAAGCATCACTTGATGGACGATTAAATACTGTCCTTTTTTTGTCTTCTTATAATGATAAGCTGTAAACTTTTTTTAGTTTTGGACATTCGACTTAAGAAAGAGGATGACTAGTATAGGTTTCTCTTAAAACGCGATCTATATTAGTTAAACTCATTATAACTGCAAAGACTCTGAAACGTCGGACAGTAGTTAAAATAATTTTCAAATAAGTTTAAATAATATTAAATCGCGTTTTAAACCGTTAAAGTGTTTTATTTCAATATGTACTACTCGTATAAACTACAGACAGTATTTAATATCTTAATATGTAGTTAAAATACCCCTGCCACATAACATCTAAACGAGATGCGGTGTCGATCTGTTTTGCCTTTGGCCAGTGGAAATCCACAGACTAACCAAAACGCGGCTTACGGCTTTGAACCTGAGAACTCATTCATTCTTTATGTACTAACGACTAGACCACTAAGGTGACTCCGTGGCGCCTCTTAATGTCTTAGAAATAAATACCCTAATAACCAATAAATCACGCGTTAATGATACCTAGCGCCAGAAGTGACGTCAGAAATAGCGCAAAGCAATAACAAAATATCCCGCCCGTCCGAGATAATGAAAATATATTGCTAAATGTAACGATATTTGTGAGTAAAATACTTTTCTTAGACCCGAGTTACAAAGCAAAATACTAGGCGAAGTTTTATTACCTTTTTTAGCTAACAAAGGGTTTATTCATAGGACAAAGAAGTCACGAAAGAGAAAACCTTTTTCGATTCTATATTAACGCTAAGTGTGCGTAGAAAAATAGTTTGGCCAACATTTGGGGATAAATGTTTTGGAAAGACTGTTATAAAAGATTGTATTAGGTATACTCGCGTTGGAATTTTTACTTTTGCGAATTGGTATGTATTCTTTCTCTGTTATGGGACTGGGAAATAAGAAGGGTTGATTGACGTTTGTTATTCTCTTTTTTTAATTTCGCAATTACATATATCTATTACACGGTCGTCAACTAAGTTTTGAAGGCAATTCACGTTTATTTAATCACTATTTTACTGATCGATTTAATCGAAGCAGTAGATTACTATAAGAAGGTTTATATCTCGATAATACAAAGGTAACTATAGTTTGTTTTTGTTTAGTAGTAGCATAGTTTTGTTCTGGTAAGTAAATAATTATTATTTTCTCGGAATACGAACTTACGAACCTGCGTATTTCTCTCTGCGTGTAATGGAATATACCTAAACACTTTACGTTCCGTGGCGGTCAGTGGCGTGTTACTCTTCGAGAATTAGGTATATGTTACTCTTTTTTGTGGTTATAAAAGAACGCTTAAACTTATTTAGATCTTTTAATTTCTCTTATTTTAAGTGAAAATTTCCACTTTATCCCAATAAAGACTTTTGAAGTCGGCTCATAAATCACAACTCGATAACTACGAACAAACTCGGAACAACACTTACATTTGCGCAATCAGAAATTATTTCAGCGAGCTCTAATTCGCACTCAAAAAGCTGATTTGCAACAATAATATAAATCACGCCAGTAAGGTTTGTCCCTACACTCGCTTGCAAATTACTATTATCTAAATATTTGCGTTTAGAGAGTGTTGTTTTCAGACGATTTCTAATATTTGGCCAACGAGTGGTTACTATTCCAGAATTAGTATTAATTACAATATTAATATTTATTTATAAACACGACTAGCCGTATCCGCGACTTCGTCCGCGTAGAATAGTTATTTTGCGCATTAATTATTCTTGCTAACGACCTCGTCAGCTTTTTAAACTATAGCTGTCACCCACGTCGTCAGTCATGTCCTGTCTATCTTTTATATACTTTATGCATGTAGTCTTTATTATGGTTTGTTCTATAGTATAGATTTAATGTTAGATGACAGACAAACATCAGATTGACTTTGGTCGGTAAAATACTCTAATTTATATAGTTGTGCTGTCAACATATGACATATATTTAAACATCTGTAGACTGAAACCCCGACTTCATTGCATTTGACGTTTGTTAATCTGTGGGAGACTGGGCAGAAGTTTTGATAATCATAGTACCTATTTATTTACCAGACGACGTCCGACATGGTTCAGAAAAAATATAAATTCATTCAAGGAGCATGTGGTCCTAGCGGAAATCAAACCTACGATCTATTTATTTTAACCTTAGATAGGACCGTTCGATCAACAAGCCTGTCAAAAACGAAGGAAGACTGAAATTTCTAGAATTCGGATTTAATAGGTCGAGCCGTGTACAAAACCGAAGGTAAAGTTTCCAGACGACACTGGCACAGTTTAATTTTTGATAAGATGAAAATAATATCACCTAGCGAGTTAAGCAATTACTTTGTACTCAAGTTATACATTTTATTAGCAAGAAAATGGTATAAGGTTTAAATTATACTGTGGTTTTTATTATGTGTACACATAAATATTAAACATCACATTACATAAAAGCCTTGAATGCATATTCTATATATTTTCTACAGTCTGTGCGTATACTAAACATTAAATACAACACTTTTAACGGTTTAAAACACGAAATGTATTAGTTAACTTATTTATGGCCCGACGTTTGATCATGGTGGATTACGGCTATTGCAAAACATCCGGAACTTTACTTTGTTTACTAATACAATTTTAAAGCGTTAATAGTGTTTTAATTAAATGTGTAGGTCTCCCGAAAACTGCAGATATTACTTACAAAAACCACTGTACGGCTTGAAAGCGCTAAACGTAATTCTTAATTTATAATTAGACTATGACCCGACGTTTCAAATGCTTCACATAACCCGTCGTGTGACTTACAAGTGTTTAAATGTATTTTTTGTATACAAAAATGTATTATTTAGATGATTTTTCAAGCAAAAAGCACGGTTCGTTTTTTCCGACGATCTTATCTGATCAACACATAAATTTTGTGAACTTGGCACAGACTCTGAACGCTATATTGACATCAATGTGCGATTTGTAGACACAAAAGTTTTCAGATTATTTACTATGTATTGTTCAGCCTTCTGAACTTAGTATCAGGATATCGTAAAGAAGTTTACAATCTAGGAATGAAATTGTGACGGAATATTAAACAGCTAAGAGCAAATGTAATGCGTTGAAAGTATGTACAGTGATTTACAACAAAAGATTTTTTATTTAGGATTTCTGACACGGGGGGAACCTGAATCGGCACTCATAGGTGCTGTTGTTTTTACCGATTGAGTCTTAAATTTTTCTCAATTTAAAAGACTTTTAATTTATATAGTGCCAACGTGTGCATTAACTTGTGAAAAATATTGAAGTTTTCAAAAACAACAATATTTTGCGAATTTGCTTTAAAAACTAAATAAATTAGTTCATTTTTAACGTTTTTTTTAAGTAATTAAAAATAAATGGATTGACATAATTCGTGTTTTCAACCGCTCACAGTATTTTATTTTAAATGTATCACCCGTCTAAGCTGCTAACTACAATATAAATAATGTTTTATTTTTGATGAGCTAGCCGTTATAAGATGCATATAGTGTCTGTCAAGTTTTCGGAGGATACGATTACTATGTAATGGTATGTACGATATAGTACTATGTTGTCTTGTTCTTATATTATCTAGTATACAAAACCTCGTGAGGAAGTAACGAAAGTTTGTTGTAAGTGTTTCTTTAGCAGTAGAAGTTTCTCTAGTCGAACGTGAACTAAGATAAGATAAAGATTCGATAAGCTGGTGTGAAAATTTATTTATTTATTTATTTATTTACACTTTATTGCACAAAAAAAAATTAACAAAAATATAAACTTATATACTAAACATAGGAGTGCAATGGGCGCCTTATCGCTA